TTCCGTCACCAAGAATGTTGTCGCCCGGTTCATCAAGCAGAATATCAATTGCCGATACGGTATCCTGGACAGGATCATTACGGAAAATGGTACGAACTTTTACAATACTATGATCACCGCCTTGTGCGAGCAATTCAAGATCTAGCATCATAATTCTTACCCTTACCGACCAAAGATGAGTGGTGATGTCGAACCCGCAAATAAGAACATTAAAAAGATCATACAGAAAATGATAGTCACATATAAAGACTGGAATGAGATGCTACCATTCGCTCTCCACGGGTATCGTACCACAATGCACACATCAACCGGGGCAACACCCTACTCTCTGGTATACAGCATGGAAGTTGTCTTGCCTATTGAGGTCCAGATCCCCTCTCTAAGAATTATGAAGGATGCAAGGATAAATGTAGAAGATTGGATCCATACTCGACTTGATCAACTAAACTTGATTGATGAGAAAAGGCTTACTGTTGTTTTCCATGGTCAAATGTATCAAAACAGATGATCAATGCTTTCAACAAAAAGGTCAGACGCCAAGTGTATCAAGTTGGAGATCTGGTGATCAAACGTATCATACTGCCGCAAGGTGATCCTAGGCGAAAATGGACTCCTACATGTAAAGGACCATTTGTAAACAAAAACATATTCTTTGGTGGAGCAATGATCTTGACCACCATGGATGGTGGCGACCTGCCGCACCCTGCAAATGCAGACATAGTCAAAAGATACTACGCATAAGAGACCCGCTAGGTTAACACACCTAGGCAAAACAAGGGCATCCCGACGAACCAAAAAGGTTCGGGAAAAAATTAGGGATAAAACAAAAAAAATTGTACAACCGGAAAGTTGAAAACCCGAAAGGGAGACTTAGGAAAAAAAGGGTTTCCCGGTGGACTGAAAACCCGAAAGGGCGGTCCAGGCAAAAGTTACGGAATTAAAGCATATGACTATGTCCCGTTGGATCACCTTACGGACAACCTTTGGCTTCCACTGACAAACTCAGAGGTTCTGATCAATTCAATCATCTTCAAACAAGGCAACAAATAGACAAGATGCTCAGAGGCACGAAGGCTATGGCAGAATGAGAACTCCATGGGATTATTGCACATAGATATCTTTTCTTTGCATAAAAAATTTAATTTGTTTTACGACAACATTATCTTACTAGAATGATTGCCTCATTGTACAAAAATACTTACTCAAAGTCAATACAAAGATATCCCTTTGAAAGTGCAAAACTATCTATTTTTATTTACTCTATTGTTTTGTTTACAAAAACGTACAATGATTTATTTTTGAACATATACATTTGAATATAATTACTAATTACAAATAAATAAAATAGAAAGACATTCACTGATGGCTTTAAGAGGTAGGGAAATCTCTCTAAGATATTTCTATAAATCCCCCGCAGTGTGCAGTTTAATCCCCAGTAGAAGTTGTCCAATTTCTCCGGATTCCTCAAGCAGGATTTTTCAAGCAGTACACAACATTTCCCTTACAACAGAGATTATTTCTCTAAGCGGAAATTCATCAACACTTCGACTTCATAAACATGAAGACTTACATATCCTTAGCAGCAGTCAGAGATTTATTTTCCCAATCCAACAACAGTGCAGCAAATTAGCTCACATACGCATTCATCGCATCCATATATCATAAACATTGATAGCACGAATGCATCATACCATGCATTTCATACAACATGACTTTGCATTTTAGCTAACATTTTACCCTTTCAGGATGAGGTTAACAACTACCATTAAAAATGTTCAAAGTTTTCAGATATAGTTCAGATACGCTCCACACACAGATGCCATTCTGAGTTTATTCAGACTCTCTTTCAGATACAGTTCAGATACGCTCCAGACACGGATGCCATTCTGATACTCATTCAGACTCAGCTTTCAGATACAGTTCCGATACGCTATGGACATGGATGCCATTCTGATACTCATTCGGACTCAGCCTTCAAATACAGTTCAGATACGCTCCAGACACGGACGTCATTCTGATACTCATTCAGATTCAGTTTACAGATACAGTTCAGAAATGCTCCAGACACGGATGCCATCCTGATACTCATTCAGATTCAACTCTCAGATACAGTTCAGATATGCTCCAGGCAAGGATTCCATTCTGATACTCATTCAAATTCAGTTTACAGATACAATTCAGATACGCTCCAGACACGGACGCCAGTCTGATACTCATTCAGTTTCAGCTTACAGATACGGTTCTGCAATCATTTTAGGATGGCATCTACAAGCCCATCTCCAACAACTTTCCATCATCACTCAAAATGGCATCTTTAATCCCATTCCCTATACCATCAACCATCACATCACCGAGTGCAAATTTCTAGGCACTCTAGTGTCCAATCATCTTCCACCTTCGAGTCATGAATTGCGAAAATTGAACAGGGGTAGCTGTTGTAACCCAAAATTTTCCCTCTCACTTATCAAGAATTTTCTTAGAAGATATCCCTTGACTTAAGACTACATTAGGGTTTGATAAACTCAAGACACCTCCTTATGCACTGATGACCAAAATTAGGGTTTGAGTTTGCACAAGGATTTTTGAACTTTCTATGCCCCATATGAATTTCATGGATCATTATGGACCCCCATGATTACTCACGTCAAGTTTCAAGCTTTGGATCCCATTTTGGCTCAACCAATTGAGTCGTTGACCTAAAAATCAGTTGTATTGGGGAGAAAGTCAAATATGGCCAATTTATAGTCAAACTTCATAATTTTTGATCCACATCAACATTTTAAACTCATATGTATCACTTTATCAAGTTTGGACCACAACTCCTCAAGAAATTTAATCAAATCTCCAAAAGGGAAAAATGGTCAAAATTACGGTTTTGACTAGGAAAGGGCAATTCCTGATTTTTTACCTAACGAATGGTCAATTGGTTTAAGGCATGATCTCAAGAGTCAAATTGCATAATTTTTTACCTAATGACATGGTTCAAAACATTGCAAGTCCATTGGATTGATAGATGAATTTTGTAGTCAACTGATCAAAAGTCAACTATATATTGAAAAGTCAAACTTTGACTTTTTGGTCAAATTCAAGTGCCAAAGATCATAATTCATCAAAACATGTCAAAATATGAAAATTATTCATCAAGAAATAAAAAAGTCAAGATTTCATTTTGAAAAGTCAAAATTTCTAAAACTTTGAAATTTTTCTAAGAGTTTGAAATTTCTTGTTTTTTCATAACTTTGAGCAAAAATTTTCACCATGATGCGAGATGATTCAAAAGAAACTTTCAACATGAAAGTTGTAGATCTCCATGATATCTAACAAATTGTTTTATACAACTTCTCCTAGAAATTCTTGGATCTCAAGTTATTAATCCATGAAGTCTTGGTCATGAAACTAAAGCACTTAGTGAATTTTCAGCAATTTTTAATCAGGTTTTTGTCCTAACTTCTTGGCCAATTTTCATCAAGTTCCAGATTTATTTAACACAATTGGAAAACATGAAAGTTGTAGGGGGTTCCAATCTTTCCAAAGAGTCCAAGAAATCATTGAGATCATTCTTGAGCTGAGAGGATCGAAGAAATGAAGTTAGGGTTTCATTCTTGAATTACAAAGCAGAATTTGTGATGAACACTTGACTAAAATTCCAACCAAAGCTACAATATCTATATTTTCAGGATATGTTCTCTCCAAATCTAAGAATAATCAAGCAATTACACAAACCCTAAGTGTATTACACAAGCATTTGAAGCTTTTTCCAAGTCTTGATACCACTTATGGTTAGAAATGCAAAAGCAACATTTCCATTTGCATAAAGCTTCATTTTTCCAACCACTCTCTTCTTTAAAAGCTTGAAATATGTTCCAAAGATTACAAAAAATCTCTCAACATCAGAATCAATCCACAAGACCTTAAAAGCATGGCTAAGTTCCTTAATTCACTTCTTTCTTCATCATGAAGCAACTTGTCTTTATGAATTTGAAAAAATGCATAACATGTGATTCTCAAAAGTCTGAGTTTTTCAAGTCTCAAACCTTCTCTAAAAATAGAAGAAGAGTTTTTAAGACAAAGAGGTTAGAAAAAATACAGAGAAAATCCAGAAGTTTTATTGGTAAACCCTCAAAATCTCATATTCACAAAAGCCATAACAGTCCACAAAACTTCCACCCTTGAGTTTTAAAGTCCAAACCATTGAACCTCTCATACCTTGCAAATTCTGTCCAACCATATAAACACTCCACATAAATCATATAGAAGTTTTTCAAACACAATAAAAACTTATGTAACATTACTATAATCACTTCCCAAGCTCAACAACAACCCATACAATAGCTCAAACTCAAAGCACAAATTTCAGTTTCAAGGTAAGTTTTCTTGATTTTGAACTCTTCATACAAGCATCATTAATGGTTCATTTGTGAAGATAAAATGTAGATATCATCGCCTTAAAGCTAACCATATGCTTTCTTTTCATTTCAACTAACCATGTGTTGAGAATTGACTTCTACATGTAGCAAAACAATGATAAAAACAAAAAACAGCAGTTATGCGTCGACACGACACAAAATGCTATGAGTCGACACATATTATGTCTAAAACAGGTTCTGAGCCGATGCAAACTATTATGCATCGATATGAAATGTTGCATAAGTCGATACGAAATGCGAATGCGTCGACTCATACTGAGTTAATTTTCATTTTTCAGCAGCAAGGAAGTTTTCGTATCAATACATAATGGCACGCGTCAATACATAATGGCATGCGTAAATACATAAACTTTTTTCCTATCAATAAATAATGGCATGCGTCAATACATAAATTATTTTCGTATCAATAAATAATGACACGCGTCAATACATAAAATTTTCGTATCAATACATAAGTATATGTGTCAATACATAAAATTTTTTCTCAAAAAAAAAATTTCTTATTTATTTATTTATTTTTGTATATCATTTATTCATTCAATATGTATTTACTTTGATATGTCACCACCGGCGATGAAACGCAACCGGGGGCGGCCGCCTAAAATTTCGGTACCGCCGGCAACGCTGAATCCTTCACCACCATCACCACCGATGCAGGAAGAAAGCCCACGAACAAATATTGAGTCAGAGACATCCATGGAAGTAAATGAAGAGGAAGCTAGCTCTTCAGAAACCATGGCAAAGACGAACCCAGAAACCCAGAATCGGAAGCTGTGGGTTGATGTGCTAACAGAGAACAGGAACAAAACTAAAGGGTTGGAAATGAAGTATATCGCCCCTACAGTTATTGATGGAAGAATGGAAATTGAAATCGATGAGGAGGACGCAAACCGCGAAGCCCAACACTGGAAAAACTCGCTAATCATGTACGTATTGGGAGATGACATAAGTATGCATTCGGTAAAGAACTTCATGACAAAAACCTGGAATGATGTTCAGCTACCTAACATTTTCTACCATGATGAAGGGTATTTCATACTTCGGTTTAATACATATGAAGAGATGGAATCTGTACTTATGAAGGGGCCATATACCTATAGAGGAATGCCTATGATTCTGAAAGAATGGAGGAAGGAGTTTAACCTCAAGAAAGATTTGATGAGAACCATTCCAATTTGGGTAAAATTTCCCATGTTGCCCCTTCACCTTTGGGGAAAATCAAATCTGAGCAAGCTAGCTAGTGCTATTGGTATTCCCTTAGTGACAGATGAGTGCACTGCTAGCAAATTGCGGGTATCCTATGCAAGAGTCCTAATTGAAGTTGATATCACCCAAAAACTGGTAGAGGAAATCAGTATTAAGGATAAGGAAAGCAACACGGTTATCCAAAGGATAGAATATGAATGGAGGCCTAAATTCTGTGATAAATGCCAAGCAGTGGGGCATAACTCTGAAGTCAGAATTAGGAAAAATGAATTGAGGCCAAATATTTAACCAACAGTTGCAGGTCCAAGTAAGGAAACAGCAGGCACAACGACCCTAAAAACTCTTGGGATTGTGAAGACAACTGACACTGTGACTACTCCAAAAAGAATTAGTACTGATAGAAGACATCAATCCCTGGTTTATGGATCAACTGAGGAAGGGATTTGGAAACAGGGCAAAAGCAGAAATCTTCTTAAAGACCATGCTAAAGATGCAATGGATATACACTGTGAGAATGGTTATGGGGTACTAGGGGGTTTAAATGAGCCTCTAGTAATAGATAGAGGACCATTCTAGTTTCCTGGAATGTTAGGGGGCTCAACAAGATTGGGAAGATTAAAGAGATTATTTCCCTTCTCTTACATCTCCAATCAACTATTAGTATTTTGATTGAAACAAGAGTCAAAGAAAACAATGCAAAAAAAATCAGAGATAAACTTAATCTGAAAGGATCCTTCATTGACAACTACACTACCCATCCTAATGGTCGAATCTGGGTACATTGGGATGATACAAAGGTGGACCTGAAGCTGAACAGTATGTCTAGTCAACACCTACATTGTGGAATATACTCAACTACAGATGAGTTCCTCTTTTGGCTAACTGCAATTTATGCTCATAACCAATTGGACATGAGAAGAATTCTTTGGAGGAAGATGGATAATATCCACACTAACCAAGTAGGCCCTTGGTGTGCAATAGGCGACTTCAACAATGTTGTTACTGCTAGGGACATAATTGGTGGTAAAATGGTGAGTGAGCATGAGTATTCTGACCTTGCAAGCATGATGAGTAGAACTGAACTATATGAGATGGACAGTGTGGGGGACCACTTCACATCGTCTAATAAGCATGTCAATGGTACAATTTACTCCAGGATTGACAGGGCAATCTGCAACGCTAAATGGTTCCAGCAGTTTCCTAAGCATGTCCTGAGTATCTTGCCTCCTAATGTTTCTGACCATTCTTTGCTGCATATTAGTGGTCCTACTGAGGAAAGGAAAATGAATCACTTTAAGTTCAATAATGACCTCATTGACATCAATGGTTTCACAGAGATGGTTAAGGCTTCCTGGGCTAAACCTGCTCGTGGGGACCCAATGCAAGTCCTGTGGTACAAGCTCCAAAGGCTAAAGGAAGATGTCAAGAACTTTAGCAAACAGGATGGCAACATTAAGCAGAGATTACTAACTGCTAGGGAGAATTTACATAAATCCCAAAATGAGCTCAAAACAAAAAGGCAGGATAGCAATTTGATTGTGCAGATCAAAACTCTCACTGATGATATCATTAACCTCCATGAACATGAAGAAAGCAGACTGATCCAAAGGGAAAAAATTGTCTAGATAAAAAAAGGTGATGGCAATAACAAGTTTTACTATGCGCATATTAAAGCTAGACACCAAAGGAACTACATCAAAGTCCTGCAGAAAGACAATGGAGAAGTCATTACAGGGTGCAACAATATTGAAAAAGAGATCATGCACTTCTACCTCCAGCTGATGGGTGAAAAGCCTAGCCAAATGAAGCACATTGATGTGGAAGCTATGAGGATGGGTAGACAAATTCTGAATGAACAAAAAAGCTCCCTTGTCAACTCTGTTTATGTACAGGAGATTGAGGAAGCCTTGAAGAATATTGGAGACAACAAATCCCCAGGCATTGATGGATTTACTGCTAAGTTTTTCAAGAGCTGCTAGGACATTCTGAAGTTGGACGTCATTACTGCAATTAAAGAGTTTTTCAGAACAAGTGATATCCTAAGCAAGTTTAACAGAACTCTTGTCACTCTTATTCCTAAAGGAGACAAAGCTATGGGTATAAAGGACTATCGTCCAATTTCTGGATGCACTATTTTCCTCAAGATTATTTCGAAAATCCTTACAGCAAGACTGAAGAATATTTTGCCGTCCATTATAAACAAAAACCAGGCTGCATTGGTTTCTGGTCAAGATATCCACAACCACATCCATTTAGCTTATGAGCTTGTCAAAGTTTATGATAGGAAGCATGGAACCCCAAGGTGCATGATTCAAATCAATCTTCAGAAGGCTTATGACATGGTTGATTGGGGATCCTTAGAGGAAATAATGAAGGAACTGGGCTTCCCAAGCTGATTTGTCCACTGGATTCTCAACCTGGTATCAACTGTCTCTTATTCCTTCAATATCAATGGTAACATCTCTAATCTTATGCAAGCAAAGAGAGGTATTTGACAGGGCGACCCTATATCTCCGTTACTGTTTGTTATTATGATCGAATATCTTGATAGATGCTTGGTGAAAATGCAACAGAATTATGATTTTAACCACCACGCTAAAAGCGAACAGATGGCATTGACTAACCTTGCCTTTGCAGACAATATTCTCCTTTTCTACAGGGGCGATGCAGTTTCGGTTGACCTCCTTATGACATCTTTTAGGAATTTCTCCCTTTCCACTGGCCTTATTTTCAAACCCAGGAAGTGCAACATCTTCTTTGGCTGTGTGGAGGTGATTGAGAGATCCAGAATTTTTGCTAGCACAGGATTTGCAGAAGGAAGCTTTCCGATACGCTACCTTGGTGTTCCTCTTAGCAGCAAAAAGCTTAGCTTACAGCACTACCTTCCTATCATTGAGAAAATTACAGGTCGAATCCGTCATTGGTCTACAAAGTTGCTAAGCTATGCCGGTCGTATCCAACTAGTGAACAACATAATCTGCTCGATCACTCAATATTGGATGCTCAACTTCCCCATTCCAAAAGATGTGCTTAAAAGAATAGACACTATTTGTAGGACCTTTATTTAGACTGGAAAGAATCATGCTAGTAATAAGAGCTATGTTGCGTGGAAGAATATGTGTAAGCCTAGTGTTGTACCCCAAAATTTGCCCTCCCATTTCCTCAACATTTTCTCATCACAAGACCCTTGGAGCTCAAGATCCAGTTAGGGTTTGCTCTGCCCAAGACCCCTCCTTGCACTGTTGACCCAAATTAGGGTTTGTGTTTGCACAAAGATGTTTTAACATAAAAGGCCCAAGATGACTTTCATGCTTCATGTTAGACTCACAAGTTTATCCATACCAAGTTTCAAGCCTTGATTCCAATCTTTGCCCAGTCAATTGGACAGTTGACCTAGAAATCAGTTGTATTGGGGTAAAAGTCAATTATGGTCAATTGACAGTCAAACCTCATGATTGTTGACCCACATCAACATTATGAACTCATATGGACCATTTGATCAAGTTTGGATCACAATTCCACAAGAAATTTGATCAGATCACCAAAAGGGCAAAATGGTCATTTTTAGGGTTTTGACTGCACAAAGGCAATTTTTGATTGTTTGACCTAGCCAATGGCAAACCAAGCTCACATATGGAATCAAGGACCCAATGGCATTGTCTTGACATGTTCAACAAATTTAAAAGATCCCAAATGCACAAGATTGACAGATGAATTTTCCAGTCAACTGAGCCAAATTTGACTGTATACTAAAAAGTCAAACTTTGACTTTTTGGTCAAAATCAAGTGCCAAGATTCATTTTCCATCAAGACATGTCAAATTATGAGACTTGTTCATCAAGAAATCAAAAATTACAAATTAGGGTTTAAAATGAAGAATTTTCATAACTTAGAATTTTTCTAAGTTATGAAAATTCCTAATTTTTTCCTAACTTTGTCCCATTTTTTCATCAAGATGCATTTGGATTCAAACAAAACTCAAAACATGAAAGTTGTAGCCCATTGCAAAATATACAACTTTGATTCACAAAGTTTCCTCAAACGAAGCTTGTAGCTCAAGTTATGATTTTTGGAACAAGGGTGCAAAACATTCTTAACTTAGAAAAATTTTGACCTATTCTAGGCAGGATTTTTGCTTAACTTCATGGCAACTTTTCACATGCTTCCACTTTGAATTTAAATTTGCATTACAAAGATGGATTGTAGTACACATTCCAAGCTTTCCAAATTGTCCCAGAACTCATCAAACAACCTTGTGGTTAGGGAGAATCGAATTTGTTAATATGGGCAAAAGTCACTTTGTTCATGGCCATTTTCATGTTCATAACTTAGGCATTTTTGAACTCAGCATGTGCAAGCTACATTACAGGCCTTTTATCTCATCCACACTCAATAATTTAATGCAAATCCTTTGTGTTCATGCCTTATCTTATGTGTTTAACCATTACATTCCAATTTAATCCATAATTAGAAAAAGTAACTTAGCCATTTTTGAAAAGGTGAACTTTATATCAAGTTTACAATCTATGAGGTACAATGCAGATCTTTGAGGCACAAGTTCATGAGCAAAGTCCACTGATCAAGGGTGATTTGTGCAACACACTTGAGAGGCTTGTGGTAGCCTAGAAACCAAGTTGACAAACTTTTCTTATCATAGAAGAAACATTGCATAACTGATAACAACACTCATTGCTGCAAGAACAAGCTTAAGCAAACTTTCTCCACACATTCCATACTCCTCAACTGACCTGAAACACGGGCCAACTACCTTCAATACCTCCCTAAACATCAAAACACCATTTTGCTGCACAAAACAGGGTATCCCTGCAGATTGAGTTGCATAATTCAGTTTGCTCGTGCGTTTTGGCCAAAGCTGGTTCATACACACTCCCTACCATCCATTGAAACTATCCCAAGCCCTAGCTACAGACTGTAACACCTCTAACCAACTTCACCATTTTCACTTTTTCTGTTTTGCAGGTTGACTTCTATAGCTCGATTCATTTAGTTTCAAAGCAAGCTAAAGGTTGGAGAAGCATCCCTGAACTTCAAGCAAGTTGTACAAGTCCTCACATTGCCTTGAAAGTGCCTCCGTTGTCATACACGATCCAAGCTGAACAGGTAAGTTCATGGACTTCTATCTCTCAATCTAGGAAGAGTTAGGTTTAGATTTATGAATGAAAAATGCTCTACTCATGGCCCTGAAGCTACACATATAATTACTTTGTATTTATGTTGTGTGTGCTGAGAGAATTTGGAACCTGAATATTAGAAAAAAACTTAGGTCAGGAATAAGGGATGAAGAAATTCTCTTTCATTTCTTGGAGTTAAGTCAAGTTCTTTATATCTCTGGATTCGTCTCTTGATGCTCTACATTTTTTGTGTTATGAGTTTTGCTTGAAAGTCCAAGAATCCGGATGTTTGAACAAGGCAAAGAAACGTGCGTTTTTTGACAGAAACTGGCTGGAGGTTGAAGAAGCTTGTCCTTTAGGCTGGGCCTGATCCATTTTCCTTTTTGCACCACTGTTTCACACATACACCCTCCTAGCCCATTTCATGATATATTTGTCATTTTT